ATATATGATGCAATGTATGGATTAACATTCTTTTTTTAAACATATGGATATCCAATTCTTCCAGCACCGTTTGTTGAAAAGACTATCCTTTCTCCAATTACCTTTATTCCTTATTCACAATCAATTGAACATATTTATACTCATGGGCCAATTTCTGGACTTTTTATTCTGTTCCACTGATCTACTTACACCTTTATGCCAACACCACACTATTTGGAGCACTATTTGGAGTACTGAAATTAGATAGTATAAGTCATAAAAATCTGTCCTTGTTCAAACTTGCTTTGGCTATTCTAGCTCTTTCGCAGTTCCAAATGAATTTTAAAATCAGTGTGTCAATTTAAAAAAAGTCTGCTGGGATTTTAATTGGAATGGCATTGAATCTATAGATTAATTTGATGTCCTAACGATCCTGAATTTTCTAAATTAATGAATACTGTGTACCTTTCCACTTATTAAGGTCTTTAGTGTCTCTGAGCAAACCTTTTTAGTTTTCAGTTATAAGTCTTGCACATCTATTTCAGATTTATCCCAAAGATTTGGTATCTTTTGATGCTCCTGTAAATAGTGGTTTTTTTCCTAATTTCAGCTTCCAATATTTGTTGCTAGTTATTTAGAAATATGCAATAACTTTTTATTTATTTTGCATATTAACCTTGTATCCTGCAACCCTGCTAAAGTCACTAGTTCTAGTAGCTCTTTCTGTAGTTTCCATGCATTTTTTAACCTAGAACAATGATTCTCAACTGAGGGCAATTTTGCCCCTCAAGGGACATTTGCAATGCCTGGAGACATTTTTTTTCCTAAGATTTTTTTTGATGTGGACCATTTTTAAAGTCTTTATTAAATCTGTTCCAATATTGCTTCTGTTTTATGTTTTGGTGTTTTGGCTGCGAGTCATGTGGGATCTTAGCTCCCCAAAGATCACGTGATCTTCAAATAAACAATCTTCCTTATTCCTTTTCAATAAGTAAGCTTTTCATTTCTTTCTTTTTTTTTTAAAGGCAGAGGACTCAGTGAGTGAAGGTAGTGGGATGGAAATTAACTAGCTCATCTTTTTTTAAAAAATACATTTATTTATTTATTTATTTATTTTTGGCTGTGTTGGGTCTTCGTTTGTGTGCAAGGGCTTTCTCTAGTTGCAGCGAGCGGGTGCCACTCTTCATGGCGGTGCGCAGGCCTCTCACTGTCGCAGCCTCTCGTTGCGGAGCACAGGCTCCAGACGTGCAGGCTCAGTAGCTGTGGCTCATGGGCCTAGCTGCTCCACGGCATGTGGGATCCTCCCAGACCAGGGCTCGAACCTGTGTCCCCTGCATTAGCTGGCAGATTCTCAACCACTGCGCCACCAGGGAAGCCCCTAATTTCTTTTTCTTGCCTCATTACATTGGCTAGAATTTCTAGTACAATGTTGAATAGAAATGGTGAGACCAGAGACTTGTTCCCAATCTTGGAGGGAAAAAAAAATCCAGTCTTTCATCATTCCATAGGTCAGCTATAGGCTTTTCATAGATGCCCTTATTATGTTGAGGAAGTTTTCATTTTATTCCTAGTTTGCTGAAAGATTTTTTTTTTTTTTAAATCAGGAAATCGATGCTGGATTTTGTCAAATGCTTTTTCTTTTTTTGAATTTTTTTTTCGTCTGTGCCGGTCAGCATGTGGGATCTTAGTTCCCCCATCAGGGATCAAACCCGTGCTCCCTGGAGTGGTAGTGTGGAGTCAACCACTGGACCACCAGGGACGTCCCCGTCAAATGCTTTTTCTATGTCTACTGAGATGACTGATTTGGTTTTCTTCTTCACTGTAATACTGTAAATTACATTGATCCATTTTTTAATACAAAGCCAACTTTGCAATCCTAAGATGAACCTCACTTGGTTATGTTGTATTATCCTTTTTATATAGTATTGGATTCAGTTTGCTAAAAAATGTTTTAAAAGAATTTTTATATCTTTGTCATGAGGAACATTAGTCTGCAGTTTTCTTTTCTTGTAATGCCTGTGTCAAACTTCGGCATTAGAATAATGCTATCCTTATAGAATGAGCTGGCATTCATATTTCCTTCTTTCAATTTTAAGAATCTATATAGAATTGGTATTATTTCTTCTTTAGTTTGGTAGAATTCCCAGTAAAGCCATCTAGGTATGGAATTTTCTTTTAGGAAAAGTTTTTAACTACAAATTCAATGCTTTAATAGTTATAGAGCTATCTAGGTTATCTATTTCTTCTGGAGTGAGTTTTGGTATTGTCTTCCAAGGAATTTGTTCCTTTAGTGCAAGTCGTTGAATTTATTGGCATAAAGTTGTTCATGTTCTCCGATTACCCTTTTGGCAATGATGTCATCACCTTCATTCATGATATTGTTAACCCTTTTTTTCTTTGTTCAACCTGGCCAGAAATTTCTCTTTTTTATTTATCTTCTCAAAGACTCAGCTTTTGGTTTCATTGATTTTCTCTATTGTTTTTGTCTTCTATTTCATTGATTTCTGCTGGTATTTATTATTTCCCTTTTTGTACTTACTTTGAGTTTCATTTGCTCTTATTTTTCTAGTTTATTAAGATGAATGATTTGAGACCTATCTTCTAGTAGTGTTTTAGCCACAAATTTTGAAATGCTGCATTTTCATTTAGTTCAAAATTTTAATTTCCCTTTTGATTTCTCCTTTGACCTATGGGTAATTTAAAAGTGAGTCAGTCAGTTCTCAAACATTTGGATGATTTTCCAGAGATATGCTATTGATATCTAGCTTAATTCCACTGTGGTCAGAAAACCTATTTGCCCAGAATATGATCCATCTTGGTAAATGTTGTTTATATATTTGGTAACGTGTATTCTGCAAATGTCCATTAAATCAGGTTGCTGGTGTCATTCAACTCTACCATACGCTTGGTCATTTTCTGGGTATTTGTTCTATCATCATCTGAGAAAGAAGTATTGAAATCTCCAACTACAGTTGTGGGTTTGTCTCTCTTTCCTGCACTACTACTAGTTTTTGCTTCATGTATTTAAAAGCTTTATTATCAGGGGCAGAACTGTTTAGGATTGTTATGTCTTTTCATGAATTCACCCTTTCATCATTATAAAATAATCTTCTTAACTTCTGATTATAGTCTTTTGTTATGAAATTTACTACAAAGGGACAGGTTTGGCGATGAAGACTATAAATTCAGTTTTAGACACATATATATATATATATATGACACGTATACATGAGCTATCTCATGTATATGAGAGATACCTAAGAACAAATGTCTAAGAGTTCAGGAGGGAAGTGTGATCTGGAGACACAGATCTGGATTAAGATGGTGTTACTATAGCACCTAGTGCAGTGTCAGTATAAAAAGTGCTCCATCAGTATGAAACACAAAGCCTGAATAGACTCTCGTCTCCAAAGTAATTACACTATTAAAAACCTCCACGCAAATGTAGGTCATACCAGAATAAACCCACAACCTCCAAAGTCAGACGAGCCCTGGACTACATCATGCTTTCTAGTGAGTTATTCACTAGGTTTTCCACAAAAGCTATTTTAGATCTTTCCCACACTGCTCAAATCTTAGTTTTCTTACCTCCCTTCCCATTTTCGGGAGACGTTTTCTTCTCCTTATTCACAGTGAAAACAGAAGAAAACAGAGAATTCCTTTGCTTTCAGTCCAATAAACACATAAAGTTACCTGCAACTACAACCCACCTTCCTCCCTTCCTTTTACGATGAAAAGCGATTTTCTTACATCCAAAGTGAACACTTCCTATGCTCTGGATGGCATTCCCTCCTACCGTCTAGGGGACCACTTTGCACCTGTCCCTTCTTTCCCAGCAGACACTGACTGGCCCCCTTCCATCAGCTGGAGGCTGCTCAGCGATCTCCTATCCTATAACCTCTCAACATCCATCATAACTCTAGCTCCCACACTTTCTTCTCCATAGCCAAACTTACTGAGTTACCTCCACTTACCATCTCTCTCTCCACTTCTTTACTCTTCCACTCAGGGTAATGGAGAGTTTCCAATGAAACAATTTATTCTTGGCAAGGTCACCAAAGATCTCATTGTTGCTAAATCCAACACACATCTTTTCCTACTTTTCCTACTTTTAAATGACATTTGACACTTTTAATTACCACCACCTTCCCCAACATCTTTCTTTGGCCCGGTGACATAAAGCTCTCTTAGTTGTTGTTTTTTTTTTGCAGTACGCCGGCCTCTCACTGCTGTGGCCTCTCCCGTTGCGGAGCACAGGCTCTGGGCACGCAGGCTCAGCGGCCATGGCTCATGGGGCTAGCCGCTCCGTGGCATGTGGGATCCTCCCGGACCGGGGCACGAACCCGCGTCCCCTGCATCGTCAGGCGGACTCTCCACCACTGCGCCACCAGGGAAGCCCTCTCTTACGTTTTATTCCTGCTTCCCTGGCTGCTCCTCCCCTCTGAAGACTGTACCCTCTTTCTAACTGCGGTGTCCCCTTGGTGCGCTCTTCCAAGTCAACTACCACCTACATGCTAGGGACAACCAAATACAGCCTGGGCTCTTTCCTGAGCCCCCAATCCTTGTATTCCATTTACCAGACGAACACACCGGCTGAAAAAGCCACGTAACTTGTGTGGACTTCTAGCTGTACCACTAGCTGTAGCAACAAGACCCTGGCCACCTGGCCAGGTAATGACACTGCTGAGCACATTTTGCACCCAAAGGCGGGGTGTGGGGTGCGGGATTAACTATACTGTGCGTTCTCCAAAATAATCTAGGCTCATTAAGGCGAATACATAAAAAGATACTGCAAGCAGTAAAGCACTGCATGAACGAAGCTGCTTTAGTATAAGGATAACGCACGTTAGCCCGTCTGGAAAGATATTTTTAGTAGCTTGAAATTCTAGGCGGGTTAAGATGCTGTCTGGGGCTTTCGGCTCCAGTCCTCAGTTTGGGGATGAACACTCCACACCAGGACCTACAGGAAGCAGCCGGGCACACAAACGAGCCAAGGGATCAGGCGAGTGGTGGTGTCTTACCTGAGGGAGCAGCTCTAGGTGATGGGTGACACGCGGTCTTCTGGGTCCAATGCTGACAGATCTGACTTTTCTACAGAAGCTACAAAACTCGGTTTCTACAATTAACCTCTTCAGTCTTTCAGTAACAACCAACTCGTTAAAAAGACGGACACTGCGGGCCCCCCGGCGCTCCGAGCACACGACCCGCTCCTCCCGCCGTGCGGTCCAGCCCCGGGAGCCCCCGAGCACCAGCCTCCGCGGAAACGGCCACGTGGGGACGGCTGAGCGCCGCGCCGGGGTCCAGACCACCCAGGGACAGGCACTGCCGCCGCCGCCAGCCCTCTGTTAGCGCGACAACCGAAATCCGTTCCGAGGCCTGCGGCACCGCGCACGCGCACCGCCCCTCCCCCAGCCGGCACCCCGCCCTGCGCATGCACGGCCGCTGGCGCGGCGGAAGTGAGGCGCCGGCGCTCTTCCGGGCGGCGACGCGCTCCCGCCCCTGCGTCGCGGCGTCGGGCGGAAGCTGGTGCGGTTCGCGGCCGGCGGTTGCCGAGTGGACCCGGACGCGGCTGGACGCCGAGCCCTCTGTCCGGCGCCCGCCGCGGGCCGCCACCATGTCGCTGCTGCAGTCTGCGCTCGACTTCCTGGCCGGCCCGGGCTCCCTGGGTGGTGCTGCCGGCCGCGACCAGACTGATTTCGTGGGGCAGACGGTGGAGATGGGCGAGCTGCGGCTGCGGGTGCGGCGGGTCCTGGCCGAAGGTGAAGCCGGGGCCGGTGGCATGGGCCCGGCCGGGGGAGGGTCAGGGCCGGGGGAGAATGGCCGCGGCGGGGAGGGTCACGGCCGGCCGGGAGGCCACTGCTGAGGGTGAGGCCGGCCTAGGGTTGGGCACTTCCTTGTCGGAGGCTTGGGGTCAGGCCGGGGCAAGGTAGTCTTGGCGGCAGGTGTGGGCTGACCCGCGGCCGGAGCGGAGGCTGTGGCGGCGGGAAGGAATGGTGGGCAGGCGGGGCCTGGAGCGAGTGGCCACAGTAGAGGCGGAGCGAGGGGGCCCCGCACGGCTGAAGGCTGGAGTCCGGAGGCGGGCGGTGCGGCGGCGTGGGTCTAAGTCGTGGTCCTTCCCTCGCATGGAGGGCGGTAGTGGGGCAGTGGACGTAGGGCTGGCCCTCCTCGGGTGACAGGAACTCCGGCGTGGGTGACCGCAGTCCTACCCTGCTTGGGTGTTGGGACAGACAGCAGCGCAGTGTCCGGTAGCCGGGCTTCCTCTCTTACGACCTGAGCGTCCCGCTCCCCGACCTCTGTGTGAGATCCCACGGAAGTTACTGCAAGCTGAGCCAACAGGTGTGATCGGAACAGAACCTTGCAGGGTGGGCTGGTCCATCTGTAGTCGGCTGTGTTTCCGCGTGCTCTCTCTAGCTTCCTGAACGTCCTCTCCCTTCTTCACCCAGAATTTATCACCAATGTTGGCGCAGTCCTAGTTCCTCATCTGGGTTTTTCTGTTCTGTCTGGCATGGCAGATTTCCCTGGCCCTGGTGCTCACCAGCTAAACACAGTTGGCTTTGGGGCCGGTGCTGAAGCAGAACTGTATCCCCTGCGTTAGCACTCTTGCTTCTACTGTGCTGCAGTTGAGGTGGGAAACTGGCTGACTGTTCTGGTGCCCTCATTCCTAAAGGCCTGAGGTGATGTTCTGGCCTTAGCATCAGAACACACTTTTTCTCCACTGTCAGAAACGAAGAGATTTTGGGTGTGATTTAGTGAGAAAACATCAGGCTCTTCTTTCAGAGGTAGGGGCCAGTATCTCTAGTAGTGAGGGTTCCCCCAGATCAATTCACTTATTCTGAAAATACCAGGCAAGTATTTTGATTCTTTTAAGAAATTCACAGTGGACGGTACATGGTTTCTGCCTTGTGGAAGTTCAAGTAAGACACAGGCTTTGATGACCAAAGGACAGCGCAGTGCAGGGGATCCTCTGGGTGGATAGACAGTGGGCGCAGCTGAGGTGGGAGGGTAAGGATGCACCCCTGCTGGGTGCAGTGGCAGGGCCAGGGGGAGGAGGGGTGGGATGGGAGGTGGGTCACGGAGAGAAGGAAACTCTTGCCTGTGGCTTAACACCCAGGATGAAGAACAAGGATAAGGGAGCAGCCACTGTGGCTGTGCAGAGCACCTGTTCCCTTTGCTCTCTGGGCATGTCAGGAGCTGAAAGTCACCACTGCGATTAGCAACTGTAGATTTCCTCCCCTTAACCTGAACTGGCAGCTCCAGCTTTCTGAACTGGAGTGGTAAGAAACCTGTATGAAGTCGTTCACATAAAACAGCAACCTTAGAACATAAGCTGCGGGAAATCAGGCTGCCTTGCATAAATATGGGGAAGGTCCCGAACCCAAAACCCTTGGGTACCTATGTTGACAATTCCAGAATTCTTCAGGTTTTAGAAAGATAGTGTGTATCCTGTATGTCCTGGGACACTGCTGCGGGAGTTGGGAAAGTGTCACATAATCAAGTGTGTTACTATATCTGTAATTAAATAAGTAAGCATCCTCACTGTGGGATAATTAAGTCTTCAAATAGCCTCACATCAGTTCATGTCAGGTGTTGCCCCAGGTGAGTTTATAATAGATCAGGTTTTGCTATCAAATGATTTAGGGAAAAAACATTGGTTTTCATAGCTTTTTGGAATTTGCACTTGTCTGAAATGGGTTATTGGGCAGAACGGTGGGTTGGGTGATCCAGATAGCTTTCTAACCTTTTCAAAATTTGTTCTAAATTTTCACTTTCTTAAAGCAAATGACTGGGAGTTCCCACAACGTCAGAGATGCCTAGTCCAAGTGGGCTTCAGGATACGTCCTGCGTGTCTTCTTGTTTCGGATTCTGCATGCTCATGCTTCCTTCTGCCAGAAAGGATAACGGGGATGGATCGCTACTGCTTGGGAGCATTTGGTCCCTCGGGCAGCCCAGCTCTGTAGGGCTGCTTTGCTCTGTGGACTCACTCCCGTGAGATGGGCTCGTCTCTGCCAGGGAGGGTTCCGAGGGGACGTTTCCTCTTCGGACACTGCAGAGCACAGATAGCCAGGATCTTTGCAGCAGGGGCTTAGGCTCGGTGGCCGGTTGTGGCCATTGGGACGAGGCGGCCCACGTCTTGTGCCTGAGTGATCGCCCTCTCAGCTGGCCCACCCGACCCTTCACTGGCCCATTGGCAGCTTTAAGGTCAGCCTTTAACCGTGGTGATAGCACCCAGCATAAAGCAGTAATAATCACCAGAGCAGTACTTATGGGGTCCTGGCTACTTGGGGGGCACAGTCCCTGGTGCTTCATGTGGAGTGTGATCATGGTGGTGCTGAGGTCGGGGCCGTCGGGAGCTTGCCAGTGCCCCCGGGGGGTGATGGTGGAGTCAGGCGGCAGCTCAGGGGAGGCTCTGGTCCCAGGAAAAGCCTGGGTCGTCTTAGGTGTGTCCCGGAGGGTTAAGTGTCCAGAGGAAATGAAGGTAAGAGAAGCTGCTGGAGTGGTGCCGCTGGAGGGCCAGGTGGGAGCCGAGCGCGGAGGCGGCCACTGGCTTTGCCCTGCCCGCTGGGCGCCTGTGGTGCCAGGCCTGCGGTACTTCTCCAGTGCGTGTCTGTCTGCTGGCGCGTGGGTGCCTGGAGCGGGACACTGGGGAGGTGGCCCTGAGGCCGGACACTTCGGGGTGTCTTCCGGGGAGGGTCCTGGGATGGGGACGTCTCCCTGCGGGGAGGTGCTCTCCTTCCTGCCTCTGCCAGGCCTGCTCGTCTCCAGAGACACCGCCTGCCGTCTGCGTGAGCAGGCGTCTCTGTAGGGTAGGTAGTGATCACGTGTGTGCAGTGGAGCTCCTGGAATTCTGCTCTGTAGGAGTGTCTGCTTCTTACCAGCAATGCTGAGGGAAAACGTGTTAAGATCACCCGGCCTGCTTCCCATGCTGCTGCCCCACCTGGCCTGGTGCTTGCTGTCCTGCCAGCAGTGCCCCGCCTCGCCTGCCCCTGTCTGTGACCCTGCGCTGTGGGAGGGACAGTCACCGGCCTCCTCGGAGGCCCTGCCGGACTCCAGCCTCCCCACATCCTCCTCATTGTAGTGGATAAAAGTGGTATCTGGTTCTGTTGGTCTGCGCTTCTCTGATGGGTGAGATTGAGCTTATTTCAGTGCCTGTTAGCCGTTCTGGCTCCCCTTCAGGAATTGCATGGCCACATGCTGTGCCTATTTTCTTTTATCAAAAATACTTTGAATTGCGTCCTTCACCCGGGGGGATGCAGACTGCAGGTGCTGTGACAGATGCACGCACCTGTGCAGCAGATGGCTGTGCAGAAAGTTGCCACCCCAGAAAGCCTCTGGGCCCCAGTCCCCCTCCCGGCCAGGCGCTTGCTGGCTCTGAGTCCCCTCTTCTGGGACAGCGTGTCTCTGGCGTCGCGCCCGGGTGCTCTCACCGGCGGCTTCATGGTTTTGAAGTTCGGTTCCCTTTTCTGCTGCAGTTTGCTGTCCCTCCCCTGCCATGGACCTTTGGGTGTTCCCATTTGGGGCTATTGTGAATAAAGTTGCCAACGACATTTTTTATGAAGTTTTTGTGTGTTTTCCTTTCTCTTGGGTAAAATGCCCAGGAGTGGAGTGCAGGCTTCTGGGTGGGATGTAGGGTTAGCTTCAGATGAAATGGCCAAACCCTCTCCACCGTGGCTGCACCAGCTTCTGCCCCACCAGCTCGTGAGCTCCTATCGTTGTGGTTATACCCGTTCTCGAGAGGGTGTAGTGGTCAAATCTGCATTTTCCCCGTGATACTGTCCAACACCTTTTCACCCGCTTATTAGCCAATCGTGTATCTTTTCTGTGTGTGAAATGTTTGTTAAAATCTTTTTTCCATTTTTTATTGGGCAGGAGTTGTGGGAGTTTCTTATTATTCTGGATCTGAGTCCTGTTTTTATATAATACACGCACACACGCACGCGCACGCACGCACGTGCACCCCCCCCATATATGGGGAAGAGGAGGTCAGCCATTTCCCGATTACAGAACATACACGGTAATGACTGTGTAGGGCACTGTCTTAGCAGTGCCCAACATGGCATTCCTTCATGCGTTTTATACGCTAGTGTTACTATTTTTACGTAGACTTTTAATTTTGAGGTCATCATAGACTTATGTGCAGTTGTAAGAAAAGGTACGGAGAGGTCTGCGTACACTGCCCGTTCCCGCTGTGGCAGCATCTGGAAAAACTGGAGTTGCCATCACAACCAGGATTGCATGTGTCCATCCCCACAAGGGTCCCTCGTGCCTTTCACAGCCAGATGCCCCTCCTGGACCCCTGGAAAGCACTAATCTGTCCTCCTCTGTAATTTGTCCTTTGAAGAATGCTGTATAAGCGAAATCACACATCGTGTAGCCTCTTGGAATTGGCTTTTTTCACTC